TTTTGGCTTGATAAGGTTACCTTTTTAGGATATGTTGTTTCTAAAGATGGTATTCAGGTGGATTCGAATAAAGTAGAAGCAGTGCAAAATTAGCCATGACCCATGACAATCACAAAAATTAACAGTTTCTTAGGTCTTGCAAGATATTATTGTCATTTTGTCAAGGATTTCTCTAAAATAGCAAATCCACTAACAAGACTAACTCAAAAGAATGTGAAATTTGAATAGGATGACAAGTGTGAAGACAATTTTCAAAAGTTAAAGGAGTGTTTAACATCGGTACTAGTTTTGAATTTACCATCAGGCAATGGAGGGTATGCAATTTATTGTGATGCTTTTCATGTGGGTCTAGGCTGTGTTCTAATGCAGCATAGGCGAGTTATTGCTTATGCCTTAAGAAAACTTAAGAAGCATGAGCAGAACTATCCAACTCATAACTTAAAGATGGTAGCGGTTGTTTTTGCATTGAAGATCTGGCGCCACTATCTTTATGGTGAGACTTGTAAAAGCTATATTGATGATAAGAGTCTAAAGTAAATCTTTAAGCAAAAGGATCTTAATTTTAGACAAAGATGATGAATGGAGTTCCTGAAGGATTATGATTGTACAATTCTTTACCATCCTGGCAAAGCAAATGTGGTGGCCGATACCTTAAGTAGAAAGTCGATGGGTAGCTTGGTGCATATGACTTTAACTAGCCTTTGGTGCAAGAAATTCATAAGCTTGAGAAAAATAGGGTGAAGTTTGAAATTGTTGATAAAAGACCATTTTTGGCTCATATACAAGCTCGTTCTTCTTTAATGGATCAGATTAAGGGTGCTCAGTTCTCATATCTAAAGTTATGTAAATTAAAGGAAGCTGTCATAGCAGGAAGTAACACTGAATTTAAAATTAACCTGGAAAGGATGCTAAAGTATAATGGTAGAATTTGTGTGCTATAAGAGGAAAACCTAAAGCAACTTATCATGGAAGAGGCTCATCATTCTGCATATACCGTTCATCCAAGAGCAACAAAGATGTATCAGGATTTGAAACAAGTATACTGGTAGGATGGCATGAAAAAAGATATGGTAGACTTTATCTCATGTTATTTGACATGCCAGCAAGTAAAGGCAGAACACCAGAAGCTAACTGGGCTATATCAAAGATTAGAAATACCAGAGTAGAAATAGGAAAATATTACAATGGACTTCATTACCGGGTTGCCTCACACTATTAAGGGGTATGATTTTATCTGGGTTATTATTGATAGACTAATAAAATTAGCTCATTTCATTCTAGTGAAAACAACATATAATGTTGATAAATATGCTCAATTGTATATTGATGAGATTGTGTGACTGTATGGAATTCCAATATCCATAATTTTGGATAGAGATCCTCAATTTATTTCTCGATTTTAAAGATCTTTCCAAGAATCTTTAGGCACTCGATTGGATTTCAGTACTGCTTTTCACTGCAAACAGATGGCTAGTTTGAGAGAACCATTTAGATACTTGAAGATATGCTAAGGTCTTGCATTTTGGACTTTGGTGGTAGTTGGGATTATTACTTGGCTTTAGTAGAGTTTGCTTATAATAACAGTTATCAATCAAGCATACAAATGGCCCCATATGAAGCATTTTATGGCAGGCAATATAGATCTCCTATTGGATGGTTTGATGTTGGCAATACTAAGCTTTTAGGATTGGATTTAGTGCAAGATGCTATTGAGAAAGTGAAAATAATTAGAGAAAGATTAATAGCAGCTCAAAATCAATAGAACTCTTATATTGATAATCGACATCGGGAGTTAGAATTCATGGTTGGAGATAAAGTATTTCTTAAGGTATCCCTTATGAAAGGGGTGATGAGGTTCGGGAAGAAAGGCAAACTAAGCCTGAGGTATATAGGCCCATTTGGAATCTTAGAGAAAATTGGTGTAGTTGCTTATCGTTTAGCATTACCGCCTGAATTCTCAAGTATTCATCCGGTGTTTCATGTATCAATGCTACGGAAATACTTATATGACCCTTCTTATACGATAGAAACTCAAAGAGTTCAGATAGACCTAGATTTATTATATGAAGAAGTTCCTGTAGCTATTTTGGATCGACAAGTTAAAAAGTTGCGATCGAAAGAAATTGCTTTGGTGAAGGTATTGTGGCGTAACCATTCTCAAGAAGAAGCTACATGGGAAATTGAAAGTGATATGTGTGTCAAGTATACACACTTGTTTGAAGATTCAGGTAAGTGCACAGTTAAATTCAGAGGACTGAATTTGTTAAGGGGGGAAAATGTAATAACCCTGACAATTTTTTTTATATAGATGTTAATTTTTTAAAGTGCATTTATATTAGTTTTTGGGATAAATATGACAAGTTAGAGACTTGGTATAGTGGCAGCTGAGTAAGCATTCATGCATTAGGTTCCAAGTTTGAATCTAAAAGAGGCCAAAAAAAGAGTTAATTTTTTCCTTTTTCCTATGCAAAATTACCAAACTACCTTTATTCCTATCATATTTTTTTAAAAAACTCTTTCTTCCTTCTTTCTCGACATTTTTAGAGTAGAGAGAGATCTAAGAAGGATCGACATTTTTGCTTTGCCTCTCACCAATCACTGCCTTCTTCCTCCTCAATCATAGCTAGCACCGTCGTTTGTGTGGGTCACCATTGATGGTGTGCTCATCTGTTCACCTCAACTGTGAGTTCTTTCACGGTTTATTACTATTCATCTGCCTCTACTCATTTTTTTCTTATTATCGTTCTACCTTTGCTTTGCACATCTGGGTTGTTGGCTGATGGAAGAAATTAGGTAGCTAGAGTTGGTGTATTGATCGTGAATCTGAATTAGCACTGAATTCATTTTTCTTCTAGTGAGTGATGCTCTATTTTCCTCCTTTTTGGTTCAAACAAAAATCTCATCTTCTCTTCCTATTCGGTTGACAGCCTCTTGATCTCTCCCTTCTTTATCCTGTTCGTTTGTGGTTGGGGAGTGAAGGAAGAGCTGGTAAGGTGCTGTGGTGAATTAATTCATGGGTTGAGGCTAAAATATTGCTGTATTCTTCTTCCCCTGTTCAGTTGTAGATTCAGTTTTCTTCCTCCCTATGTGTGTGCATTATCAGCTAACTAAGGTGAGAAATTTTGAATTCTTTCAATTGCTGGTTCTATTGTGCATGTGAATAGATGGAATGATAGAGTTGAATGTTGAAAATTATTCTCCTTTGTGTTGCTATCATGACTATGTGTATGGCGTATGGAGGAAAAAAAACTTGAATTAAGTTGAAATATACAATAAGAAAAGGGAGATGATGATAGTGTAGATTTAAATTCTCAATTGGAAATAATTGGATATTGGTATTGTAAGATTTATGGAAGCTGAAATTTGGTAGGAAGTCTTTGTAAATCAAAAGATGATTTATTAAATTTTGTTTACTAATATCTTTATGGGATGTGTGGAGGAAGAGGATCCCGATAGAAATTGAAGAAAGAGTATTTTAGGAATTCAAAACTTTAACATACAAGTGAATAGCATTCCATTTAATTTATTTTTAATAGTCTTTTATTGAAATATTTTATTCTTATGAATTACATTAATTTTGAAAATTATGAAATATTAATGAAGGACAAATGAGTTATGATATGTGCATTTATTTATTTTTAAAAGGGTATTTCCAAGATGGATGAAAGCATTCACGTATGGTTGTTAAGCTTTGAAATGTATTTGGCTATTTAATTACTGCAAGTTTGGTATATTAGCTATTAAGTATGATTTTCGCAAATTTTGAGAATTGAAATAATTCATGTGAGTTTGGCATTGAGAATGGTAATTTTACTATAACAACAACTATTTTTCTCACATGTTTGAAATGTGATTTTTTAAGAGGACTCTAAATAGGACACTACTACTAACGGTAGTTCTGTTAGCTGTAGCATGCTGTGGTTAAATACTAGCTAAATTGTTTTGTGAGTTTTATTCTCACACTTGGTATTCGTGTGCTTTGCACTGGTGTTTGATTCCGTGGCCTGATCCGCGTTTGATTATTTACTCTCATGGACTGTGTGTCCACATTTGTTTCGTAGCTTCGACTGCATTTGGTTACTTATTCTCATGGACTGGTGTGTCCACGTTTGCTTTTGTGGCATAAGCCGTGTTTGGTTATTTATCCTTGTGGACTGTGTGTCCACATTTGTAACCTTTTCTGTTGAGTTCTCAAAATTTTAAATGTTGATTAATATGTATTTTCAAAAATTAAATGATTTTGGCTAGCAATTTTACCAAGTTGAGTTATATGTGAGTAAATTGTTTTCTTTAAGCATGATAACATAAATTATTTTTAATTTACTCTTATTTTACAATTATGGTTATGACTTACAGGCTTATAAATTTTGTGGAATTATTTTTAATTAGTTGACACCATTATTAGAGCTTGTTGATTTAAATTTTAAAGAATTTTACCATGGGAATGCTATTCACCAGAAAAATTATTTTGGCTTCAGATTTGTTAGCTGACATTGATCCCACCATCCACTTCTAAAGGGCAAAATAGCTATAGTGGGTGTAAGTTTTTGATTGGTACTGTTACTTTTAATGTAAATATATAATTCGTATGTCTTTTTTTTCAAAAGAAAGATTAGATACTCCACATAGGTTGTTGATAGACCTTATTTTGGTTTGTATATTGGTTACTTGTTGAAAGGAGCTACGCTTCTGATTTATACTGTTATCTGTAAAAATTTCTATTGTAGAATTTTTGGTAAAGTCCTAGTTATAAAGGAGGTTTTGCTGAAATTTCTTCAAAACGTCCACATTTTCTTATGGTAATTAGCTTAAAAAAATTTGAAAAATTTATTTTAATTCTCATATAATTTGATTAAATTTTTTTCTTTTCTTTTGTAAAATGGAATAAATTTTTTTTTATGAGGCTTACAAGGATGTGTGAGTGGTTCACACTTGTGCCGGTCACCCTCTATTTTTGGGGCGTGAGAACCATTGTCAAAGGCAGCTATTGTTGGCCCTTAGTTCTTCTTCTAAATTCTCCAGCTCTGCTATGAGGTTCTTCACGTCATTCATCCACTTGTTAACCTTGTCATCAATTCTGTCAGTCTTGTTGATAATAGCCTCTTGAACACGTTCTTGCACCCTGCCTTGTGTGAGTATGAGCTCCTCCTTTCTAATCTCAACATTTTTGGTATTTTACTAACACAGAACAAATATTGCAGCTGTTGTAAAATTGGAGGCACCAAATATTCAGCAAGTTTTGCTGCCACCGACACTCCCACCTCTGCCATTTAATTAATAGCAACCTGAAAGGAGAGCTTTGCATTCATCATCATCAAATGATCAACTCAAAAATTCATTTTGAAGAACTAAGGCATAATTTAATACTAATCAAGGTGAATATTAAAGAATGATTTATTGCCCTATCTTTCATACATAATTAAGAAATATCAATTGTTTTTGTACAACTTTCTTGCTGTGATATCTGGTCTTTTTGCCCCAGCCTTGTTTAGAGATTAGAGTAACTTTATTAGTGAGTTTTTCTAGCAGATCGGCGCAAAGGTGAAGTAAAGAAGAAAAAATGTAGTCTGCAAATCACAGCAGCAATTATTAGCAACTAACAAGCTACTCATAATTTAGGAATGGAGAACGATCACAGATACATGTAAACAAATAGAAAAATGGTGGGAAAAAGACAGGAAAAAAAAAAAAAATCGGATAGACTAAAGCGGGAAAAAAATGGATTATTCTGATTCATTCAGGAGAGGGATATTGCTTCATAGTTCATACCTGTGATGAACTTCCACTTGCAGATTTTGAAGAGTGAGAAGAACAGAATTCAACTGCGAGGACCAGATTTCGCAAGAGAGAACTTGGAAGTTGGGAGTGAAAGTATGTAGGTAAGATGATTATGGCTTTGATGATCAGTAAGTGTTGTCCATTTTCCAATTCTTTGGACCCCAAAACACGCTGTCTATATTCAATAATTCAACAGTAAAACGCAATCTTATCATGTAAAAAGGACAGTATTTGAAATTGAAATTTCAGAGTTTTTGTATTACATTATCTTTGTGCAACGTATTATAAAAGGAAAATTAATCCACAAATTAAACTCTTACAATTTTTCTCAATTTTAAATTAAGTCTTTGTAATTTATTTTGTTTAAATTGGGTAGTATAATCCACTAGATATATTAATCCTTAAAAATTAAAATCATAATAATTCAAATGATTATGATATTTCTTCACCGTTTTTTATTTTTATCCGAGCTCTTTTGTTTTTATTGAATTTCACAAACCGTCCATTGTAAAAGGAATATTGGAGGTAGCATTTTACTTTTCCAACCCTAATCAATTTGTGTAAGAGGATCGGAAGTTGATATCTTTTCTTCTTCGGGACTAAAAGCATGTGGCTATTATTTTGAGGGACCACACGTGATTATTGTGAGAAATTATTTGAATATTTTTAATTATTTTTAAAATTATTTTTAATAAGAAGTACTGGAATAGGAATATTGGAAGAAGTATTTTACTTTTCCGGCCCTAATCAATTCGTGTAAGAGGATCGGAAGTTGCTATGTTATCTTCTTTGAGACTAAAAACATGTGGCTATTATTTTGAGGGACCATAGGTGATTACTTTGAGAAATTATTTGAATATTTTTTAATTATTTGAAATTTTCTTTTAATAAGAAGTATTGAAATAGGAAAATTGGAGGAAGTATTTTACTTTTCCAACCCTAATCAATTCGCGTAAGAGGAGCGAAAGTTGCTATCTTATCTTCTTTGGGACTCAAAGCATGTGGCTATTATTTTGAGGGACCACATGTGATTATTTTGAGAAATTATTTGAATATTTTTAATTATTTTGAAAATTATTTTTAATAAGAAGAATTTTTTAACATAACCAATCACAAGTGATGAAAATCTTTCTAATGGATTATAATTTTATTGTCACATTCCAAAAATAGAAGGTGGCTAGCATAAGATTTAACCATATCACACATTTTTTAAGTCTTAAATTACTAATCCTTCGATTTTAAAACATAATTGAATTTTTACATAAATTATAACATACCTAATAATAATCATCGTAATGAAAAAATTTCAATATTTTTATAAGAATTTTAGCAAAATCTCCCCTATAAATAGGAACTTTCAAAAATTTACAATACAATATTTCATTTAAAAATATTAAGTTAGTCAAGAGCTCAGCTCCTTCCAGCCATTAAACAATATGTATGACAAAAAAAAAACTAGCTATAGACTAAGTGAAGCACATGACCTTACTTCCAAACTAAAATACATGAGTTCAAATATTTATATCAAAAGGAGATAATTTTAAGCAAAATTCCAACTAGAAATAATTGTATGTCTTTTAGAGATCAGTAAAAGGGTCAACGTCAACTAATAAATATGAGACAATTTTTGTTCAATCAATAACATCCAAAAAATATAATTGAAAAGAGAAAAAGTAATTAATTTAATTACATATAATAATTGAAAGGAGGATAATTCAATATAATAAAATTACTCAATTTAGAAATCTCAATTGTAATCAAGAATGTGAGTGAACTAAAATTTAATTGATTCTAATATACTTGAGGAGAATAAATTGTTCATGTGTGAATAAAAGTAGTACACTTACTAATTGCAACTATTGAAATTTTTATTTTACAAATCAATTAAAAATCTAGAATTTTGAGAACTTAACAAAATAGAAAACATACATCGACACATAATCCATGAGAGTAAATAATCAAATGTGACTTATGCCACGAAAACAAACATGGACACACAGTCTATGAAGGTAAGTAATCAAACACATCTTGAGCTATGAAACAAACGTAGCTACACAATCCATGAGAGTAATATTAATAAAACTCAGCTTAAAGCCATGAAAACAAATACAGGTTTAAGACCCATAAATATCACAAGTGAGAACAAAACCCACAAAATAAACTAGCTAGTCATAACCATGGTACACCAAAAACTAACTGAACTGTTGTTAGCAATAGCATTTTGCTTATAGTCCTCCTATAAATATTATTTCAAACATGCAAGAACTATACCATTATTGAAATAAATTTCCATTATCAATGCCAAACTCGCATGAATTATTGTAAGCTCCAATTTAATACTTGCCAAAATAAAATTTTTTACAATTAATGAGTCATACAACATTTATTGAATAATCAATTTTTTAAAAGCTAATTGTTAACCTCTAGAATTTCATGTTATTTCATCATATTTTCCTTAGATTATAATCCATTTTAACTCAATTGTATATGTTTTTATTGCCCAAATTAGGAAAATCTGCATTTTGTTTTGGGTTTGTATTCTTGATTTTGATTTGAAATTTTTGGCATTTCATGTTATTTCGGTTGAAGATTTTATTAGAAACATTTTTGGAGCTTTGTAGATGTGTTTGGAAGGCTTTTGGATGAAGAAATCAAGCACAAAGTGAATAATTTTCATTAGCTACAAAAATAGTGTAAAACTGCCAAAGTCGTCCCAAAGTCATGACTTTCATTCGTGATTTTCGCCACTCTCAAAAAAACGCTGCATTTTATTAAGTTTGAAATTGGTTGGGTAGGACATTTATATTTAGAGAGCTCAATCTAGAAGCCATTCTTCTCACTTTTAGACACATTTGGAGCTTGGGTGTATTAGGGTTGGGCATTAGAAGTACTTAAAGCAAGGGAATAAAGTTTTGAAGACATTTGGGACTCCTTTTTTTGGTTTTTCTATTCCTCTTCCCTTTCTTTCTTGTAATCTTGTAATGGTTGTGAATATTTTCTGTATTTGTAGCTTCTGGATGTTTATGAGTAGTTAAACTCTTTGCTTTAAGATTATTTTGAACCCTTATATAGATTAACATTAAGTTCCTCCTCTCTTTTTGTGATTAATTATATATATATATATATATATGTTTATTTTACTCTTTCCTTAATGCTTCTAAGTCATTGGCTACCATTTAGATGTTGCATTCACTTAATTGATGCTTGAGAGGGCAAGGTTGAGTGTATAACTTCGGTAAAATAGTGCAAGAACTTGACATTTGTATGTTGAATGGATAATTTTGCTAGTAAGATAGAGATATAATTGCTAGTCTTGCATAGCTACATTAAGGTTAGTGTTTAAAATTGAGTTTTATTAATTGTAACAAGAGATTAGGCAATTAATTTAACTAAATACTTGTTCATGACTTAAGAGAATTTGTCCAAGTATTTTTAGAACCCTAGGTTAGCACTTTTTTTTTATTAAAATCATTTATGAAAGGAGGTAATTTTGGTGTTATGAAATGCAAAGGGGATAAATAATTTTAGGTCTCAATTTGTGTTTAAAGTGTGTGAAGCAATTGCTTTTCTTTATTTCCTAGTGTTTTAGTTTGTAAAATCATTTTTCACCTAATTATGTTTGGCTCAACTTGATTGAAGTTACTTAGTCTTTTGTTTGATCATTATTTTGAACAAATCCTCAAGGGAACGATACTTTACTTTCATTATATTACTTGGTATGACCAGTGCACTTGCAGTGGGAAACAAGTTTTTGGTGCCATTGCCAAGGACTTTCTTTTAGAAATATTTTGATCAACCTTAGACTAGTGATAGTTGATTTTGCTTAAGCTTTGTAGATATTAGTTCTAGATTTTTATTTTATCTTTGTTTAGTGTTTTAGTTTTAGTTGTTTTCTTCTTTAAGTACCTATCTGGCATATGCAAGCTATAGGCTCAGAAGGATTAAAAGTTATACCTGAAGGATTAACAATTTTTGAAGAAGCTAAGTCTCTAAACTTTGGAAGAACTCTTGAAATTCAACTTGAAAACATGGCAAAATTCAACTAATGACTTTGCTAATCGAAATCTGAGGGGCACTCAATCTTGTATTCAAATGCTAAAGTTTCAAGCATATACTTTTGAGATCAAGTCCGCCATGATCACAATGCTTGAAATGGATGGGGTGTTTTATGGTCTATTCAATGAAAATACTGACAAGCATTTGATGTGACTCTTTCAGACAAAACGAGGTGCCTAAAGATGTTTTACGCTTGTGATTGTTTCCTATTCTCTACAAGGCAAGGCTGAAGAATAGTTCAACAATCTTCCTGAAGGTTCTATTAGTTCATGGGAGGATCTTGAGAACAAGTTTAGAGCTCAATTCTTCTCTGGTGATAAAACTGTAGAAACAAGAGATGAATTTCTTAGCTTTAAACAATATCTAAATAAGCATATATATGCAGCTTGGGAGAGATACAAGATGTTGATGAGGAAATGCCCTAATCATGGGGTGGATAAATGGGTAGTGATTCAAATTTTTTATATCATCTGAATCTATCTTCTAAGGCTATGGTTGATTCTATTGCAAATGGGGGATACCATAATGTGCTTGTCAATGAAGTTTTTTAACTCTTGGATCAATTATCGACAAACAACACTTAAAATATGAATAGAAGGAATACATCAATGGTAACTAGTGCTATAGATGATTCTTCTTCCCAAATTATACCCATCTTAAATGCAATGAACAAGCATTTTGATGTGTTAGAGAGTCTCAAATGCAAAAAGGAAATCCTTAGAATGTGCATTCTGTTCATGCCATTCTAGCTATGTGCAATCAATGCAATAATGTTCACATGCTCGACTAGTGTCCTCTTTACATGACCACTGAATCTGTCAATTATATGGGCAAGTTTCAAAATTCTCATAACAACTCTTACTCTCAAACATACAACTCAAGATGAAGGAATCATCCTAACTTTTCATGGAGTCAAGGGGATTCTTCAAATCAACGTTCATCCTCTACTGTCAAGCTAACTCACCCTCCGGGTTTTCAAGCTCTGCCAAAGCCAATGTCGGTTAAGGAAGAGGAATCTAGAATAGAGAAAATGTTATCACAAATCTAGAATAATCAAGAGTCTGCAAGAGCTGAAATTAA